TCAACCCGCTTCCCTTCCCCCCCACCTCGGCCCAACCCCTTTCCCCTCCCCCCTTACCTCAGCCCAACCCGCCACTCTGACCCCAGCTCAGCTGCCCTCCTTGCCATAGCCCAAGCCCCTTCCCCTCCCCCCCCAGCTCAACCCCTTCATTGCTGCTCTCCAGTGCAACCCGCCACTCTGACCCCAGCTCAGCTGCCCTCCTTGCCATAGCCCAAGCCCCTTCCCCTCCCCCCCCAGCTCAACCCCTTCATTGCTGCTCTCCAGTGGGGCCGGGGCACGTGTGCAAGGGCGAGGCAGAGAGGCCCGTGCTGCCCAGCTGCTTGGCAGGGCCCCCAGCTCGCTCTGTGTTCTGCTGGTGCCTCTTCGCCAGTGTCTCAGCCCAGACAATTCATTCTGCAGAGGGATGCGAACCCCCCGCCAGGCAAAAGGAACAGCTGGGAGTCTTCCCGCTCCCTTGCCCTCAGGAGCAGCATGTAAACATGGGGAGGGGCAACTTTCAAAAGACTGAGGACCTGTTCGAGCCCAGGCTCTAGTGCCAGTGAAATTGAAGTCAGGAAGGCCCCTCAAGCGCCAAGTCAGACGGGAAGCGATGTTAGTCGATGCCCACAAAAGTGAGGAGTCTTGGGCCACCTTACGGACTAACAGATTTATTTGGTTTTAAGTTGTCCTGGGCAAAAGCCCCCAAAAGCTTGTGCCCAAATAAGTCTGTTAGTTTTTAAAGTGCCTCAGGAGGAGTCATTGAATTTGAAGGACTGGGGCTTATTAAAATTAATGTATAGCATAAAAGAGTAGTTTTAAAAGTTGGAGATATGTTACTATAAGCATAGCAAGTTCAACTATATGAACACAATCAAACCCAACAATTATCCCCCTGCCAAACCAAAGTACTGCATTGCATGCACCGTTCTGCCCCGTACAGAGGACGAGAGAGAAGGAAACCACAAGACAGAAATGGGTGCACTACTGAAAAGAGCTCAGATATTGCAATGAGGGAATAGCACAAGAACCTAAATAGAACAGAACAAAATGTGTCCCGTTAAAAATGATTTAATAGGTTTTAAATACTATAATAATGGCTTTTATTAATGAGTAAGTATATTTCATCAAGTCCTATATTTGTTAAAACACCAAGTTGGAGACAGAGGTTGTCACCATTTCCACCCAACATGCACTGGCTTGTACTCAAGAAAGCAACCTGATAGAACTAAAGAAAAAAAGATGGAAGCAAAAAGAATATTTGTACATTTATTTATAAGGAAATTATGTTTCTATAATTATTTACAACATGTAGGAAACCAGAGAATAAGTTTATACAAAGCCAGCCAGTTTGCACGGTAGTCAAAATGTGTACTTATTACAATACTTCAAACTATTACTCATGTTTCAAATGCAAACCCGCACCTCCATGTACATTGTGTCCCACCACACATTGGTGGCTTCACACATCAATGTTATCAATACAAAAGAGTAAATCTTTTGGCAACAGCTTGCCATGCTAAGAAAGGCTGTGTTGCAGTTCCCAGTCACTGTAAACAATCCACAATTTATTCAGAGGTTCTGCTTCTGTGCTTCAGTGTAATAGCAGAGCTTGCAATCAGGTCTTTGGAGACACACAAACCAGGATGCTATATTAAATAGTCATTAAACAAAACTGGTGGAATCAGGCTAGAAAATTAATGACACCAACATAACAAGTAGTATCACATAGACCAGCTGAAGAAGGTAAGTGTGAACACACCACTGACATACCAAATATGTCCAAGTATTAATAACAAGTCAGATCCATCCAAAATAGAAAATTGTGAGGAAAAAACCCTACAACCCCCGCCTTCCAAGAAATTTGCCGCGAACCAAAAGTTGTTTTGAGTTACTGAAATTGCATTTTGGAATTAAAGGGGGGGACACCATACATGGGATATGCTTAAAGTAAATAAAATTAGGAATTTAAGGAAACATGATCTTAAAATTAAGTGTGTAATGCACAGATGTTGCTTTCTCCAGTGAAAGTCCAAACACCAAGGACATCTTTTGTCACCAGACTCAAAACACATTGACAGAAGGAAAATTACTTAAAATACAAATGCAAAATTTGTATTGAAGTCAACCTGGCCGGCTATCTCCATTTCTGAAACTATACAGGATACATAGCAAATGCAGGGGAAGAGACCTACTTCCCTGTTCTCGTTCTGCGAGCACATTCCCTCACTGTATAAAAAGTCCGTGCTGCACCAAGTTTGTGATTTCAAATAACTTTTCATAGATGACAAATTCACAGCAGAAATATGGATTGTAAAAATATAATAGAACCCCTTTCCAAAGGGAATAGTGCACCTTTAGCAGTTTCTGCAAAGGTAAAAACAATGTACATTTGCAAAGTTCCTTTTGTAATATACATGCATTATTGCTAGAGAAAAAAGGTGTAACTGAGGATACAAAACTGTTCTGTAGCTTCTATGGTGCCATCCAAAATGGCATCTGTTGTTTAGCTCGTTGTTGTGAGGAAGGATACTGGTATCCCAAACTCCATCCCTGCGAAAAATTACTTGCATTTTTATGGCCACCATGTTCCTCTTCTTCATCAGATGAATCTCCAGTATAAGACACTAATCCAAACCCCTTCTCAGCAGTTTTCATCTTCTTAGCTGAATGATCTAAAGGGAAAGAAAAAAACATCTCCCCGCCCCAGAGAAGGAAAAAAAGATAAAAATACCCCAGACAAGTTAATTAATAAAAAGAGATGTTAATTATAAATCGTTAGTTGGACACCATTTTGAGGTCACAGGGTCAATGGTCACCCAAGGTTGGCGGTCACACGAAATAGCAGCAGCAACGGCATATGTGATCCATCAGAACCATGTAAGAAAGCAGAGAAAGAAAAAAAGAAACACAAAAAGAAAAAAAAAAAAAGGTCAAGTTAGCAAATGAGTTAAAGTGACTCAATTTCACCGTTAAGAGATAAATATGTAAAGAAAAGTCCAAATTTAATCATAAGAGGTCAAATATAATGGCAAACTCTGGCACCAATACCGGAGAAAAACTGAGGTTAAGCTAATATACTGTCTCTGCGGCTCTTGGATACACGAAAATGTGCAACTTGCAAGGGCATGAACAAGTACAAGAATTTAAATGTTTTCTCAAGTCGCAAATATTTGATGCTACTGAACTGTATGAAAAGATGGAATCCAATGATATCTATCAGTTGTGTACCACTT